TGAGGCATCTTGGGCTATCTAAAGCCATCTTGGAGGCCATATTGACATCTCCGAGGCCATGTTGAAATCATCTTGGGCCAGAGAGAGCGCACGGTTTGAGACAGCGAGACACGTCGTAGCACATGACCTGCGACATACCGCACTTGTTTGAGGCCTCGGCATGGAAAACTTGGCCTCGGTAGACAGAACTGGGCCGCGGCTGAGTAGCCCGAGTGCTGTTATCTAGGTTAGAGCCGCGGAGGGTATCCTGTCCATGCGCCAGGCCTCAGATTTCGAGGCGCTCCTTGCGCGCTCTCGGGGATCCCAGCGCGACCTTTCCCGTGCCCCTGATGCCGTGGGGGCGTCGGACAGGGCACCCTCGGACAGGGAATCCAGGGCCTGTCAGTCGGTGGAACGCTTCTGGGTTGCCCTCAGCCGCTCGCCCCTCGTCCTCGCGCCGCCTGGCACGCGGGGGCGCCTCGTCGCCGCCCTCTCCCTCGCTCGCCCTCCACAAGTGGGCGCCGCAGCCTCCCCCCCGCTCTCTCCCTCTCCCTCTCGCCCCCGCACATTTGGGGGTCCGCCCCCTCCAACAAACGCATCCCGAGGAGGTCCGCGCCTAGGGGCCCCAGGCTCTTGCCCACGACGAACGGGAGGGGTCGAGGGACTGTTCTGCCGGCGAAGGTCGAGGGATCGAGGGTGTTAAACGTTCTGGGCCTCCAGGGCCCTCACAAACCCTTCGCGGGGGCCCCCGCGGCGGCGGGACTCCTGAGGGCCGCCTCCGAAGACGCCCGGGAGGGGATCGAGGGCGGCACCGAAGGTTGTGGTCATCCGTGCTGGGACGGCCTCCGGGCTGGTCTCTGGTTTCGCTCCTGCCATTCCCTTTTCTAAGTTTGCTGGCACGGGCACTCGCACACAGTCGCAAGATGAAACAGAATTCGTCCGAGAGGGCACAACAATGTTTGGAAGGCACCGTGGCACAAGAAATCAGAAAACTCTAGATGCAAACAACGAGGAGCTGAGGGGACATCGCGGTACCCTCGAATTTGCAAGATCTACATTCCTACGAGTTGGGGCTGCGCATCTGTCTGCCCTCCTTCCTTCAAACTGCTTCTCATCCTGCTCCTGCTCCTGCTCCTGCTCCTCCTCCTCCTCCTCCTCCTCGTATCCGCCCTCATGCTGTTGCCCCTGCGGGAAGCCTCAGACTTGCTCCGCACCCTCACCGGAGATTTCGTCGAGCTCCTGGGCGATCCCGCTTGCGAGTCCGAGTCCACGAACTGCGCGGAGAGGGGAGGTGGAGGTGGGGGCAAGATAATGATGATGACGATGGTGACGAAGAGGCAAGATGATGAGAATGCGGAGAGGGAGCTCTATGAGGAGATGGAGGGGAGGAGGAGAAGGAGGAGGAGGAGGAAGCGGAGGAGGAGGAGGAGGAGGAGGAGGAAGGGGAGGAGAAGGAGAGGAAGGAGGAAGAGTTCACGTACCATGGGGGGACGAATCGTGCCACCACTCTACCACCGATTTGAATGATTCGCCTGTGGCTGCTGTGATATGGAGCGAAGCGCGCGAGCAGGGGTCGAGGGGCCGACGCCAACACGCTCCCGAGAGACCTGGCACGCGAGCAGATCTGAATGCCTGGCCTGGGTGGCAACTCTGGTAGGAATGCCGAACGCACGAGGTTTGCGCAACAGTTCGGCACGCAATGTATGGAATCTATGGAAGCTCAATGCGGACAGCTCCTGGGCGCGCTCCCGCGAAATCTCTGCAGTGTTGCAATCCCGATCCGACCCGACGCCGAGGCGAACCACGGGGTCGGAGGGGAGGCAGACGCGACCTAGGAAAGCAACGTCGTGAAACAGACGAAGACAGACAAAATAACGGGAAAGAGCATCCGGAGCCTGCTCGCAGCCGAATGTGCACGAGAGAGGTGTCAAAATGCGGACACGTCGCGAGGTTATCCACGCTCCCGCGATCGTTTTGAGGTGAGCCCAGGCTCTCATCGGCGTCGAACGGATTAAAACGAGTTCTAAATCCTGCCACACCGCCTCCTCATCTCCTCGAGATGGCGATGGCAGAGAACGTGGAAGAAATCAGGGAGAGGGCGAGAGGCCAGAGCAGAGGAAAGAAGATATTGGGGGCCCGTAAATCGGGCACGCTGGCGGCGCGCCAGCTCGCGGTACACTCCTGCAATGTCCGATGCCAGGCTCTGCCTCGAAACGCCGTGTTGCAGGAGAACTGCGGTGGCGTGGGGGAGGACTCCGCTCCACTGAGCGAACTGCTGCGCCATGCTGTGCCGAACGGCCCAACACGAAGCCGTCCACCTACCACGCACGTGCTCTACAATCGTGCTGTGCTGCATGGTGGCGTCGGCGTGACGATACAAGAAGCCCTCCCACCACCCCACCAGAGTATGAGTGGCCGCGCCAGCCAGTGGTAGCAGGGCCGAACATAATGCCGAGTATCGCGTGGCCGACGTGATTGCGAGCGAGTCCCAGGGAGGGATCGCGCGAGACAGGAATCTCTCGATGTCTGGCAGGTGTCTCTGTCTGCTAGATTCCACAAAGGAGGCCAGGCAACACCCCTCGGCCTGAAAGAGGAGGCCAGCAAGAGCAGCGGCAGCCTCGAAGGGAGGGAGGAGAGCCCGAAGATGCGCAGTGGTCCTGAGAGCTGCTCATACATCGTCAGCACACGCGCCGAGGTCTCCACTGGAGCCGCCAACGGCTTCAAGACTACAGACGAGACAACTTACTATGGGGTCCATCCCGAGCGCCCACAGGGTCCTGGGGAACGGGCGCCCTTGGGGGACACCAAGCGTGAGGGTAAATAGCTCCTTCACATCCGACCCGACTCGCAGGAAACCAACAGAGTTGTGCATGAGGGCCCGGATCGCGCAGCAATACATGCCTGATCTCTTAAATCTGCGCTGGACCTTGCCTAGCCAATTCTGGCTCATGCTAGGAAACGCGGCCTTGACATCAAAACTCACAAACACAAGCATGCGACAATCGGCGTCGTGCCCAAGACTGGCTACACGGCACAGTGTGTTGAGACGCGCGATGTGTCTGGCGAAGTTTCTGCCGTCAACAAAGCCTTGCTGAGCGGCATGGATGTGTTGCCCCGCAACGTGGGAAAAGGGATGAAGGAGGAGTAGAGCCCTGGAAAGCGAAAGGAGGAGAGCGTGAAGGTCTAACGAAAACGTCGGGTGGGCGAGCTGGGCTGTGTACGTGATCTATCTGGGCCAACAGGGCCGTCCCTCTTTTCAGGGCCCTGCGAACGTCCTGGAGCTCAGGAAGGGGGAGGTCGACAACCTCGGGGATGGGGATGTGGGCCTCGATGATGGAAGGCATCCTGATCCGGGTTGTCCTCGACGCGCTCTTGAAACACTGGCTCCCCATGGGCCCAAGTCGCTTCAGAGATGTTTTGCCCGCCTCGGAGCACGGTGTCTCCGTGGCCCTCCTGGGCATGTTGAAAGCCCTAGAGAACGAGACGTCGCACAACAGGGCACGGCGAAACAGAGCCTGCCGAACACGTCCCCGAGAGAGGCCGGGGTCTCGGTAAACCTCTGTCTGGTTGGCCTGCGCCTGTGCGCGCTCGGCGGGGTCATCATTGCAGGCGAGCGCCTCCGTCTCGAAGCTCTGCGCGCTGCGCAGCGCCACCGTGCCACTACCCAGGGCGAGGGGGGCATTGCCGGCGGCGGTGCGGTCGACCAGCCGCTTCGCCAGCCGGCAGTCCTGGCGCCACACTGCGCGGGCGATCGCGCGCAGCGCCATGCACTTGGTCTCCAAGTCGCCATGAGAGTTGTGAACGGATGGGCGTCTGCAGCATGATGTCGCGGGTGCTCGCAGCAGCAATGGTCATCTGGCGTTCGCGAATTTCCACTGCTCCATGGTCGGCATGGGGTCCAGGTCGCAGGCTTCGATGCAGTTTGTCAGCTGCTGGCGATAGGCGTCTGTGGTGGAGATGAAAGCGGGGATTCCCTGACCCTGCTTGGACGGCTCAGCTCGTCACTCCAGCTTCAGCTCAACCATGGGATGGTCACTCACGCACCATCGTGCTAGCTACTGCGGATCACAGCGGAGGTTCACCACAATCTTCATTTCATCTTCGAACTTCGGGGGCGTGGAGACGAATATCCTGTCGACTTAAGTCATCTCATTGGTGCTCCTGTCGAAGTGCGTGGGGACGGGCGTGACGATTTCAGTCATCTTATCGGAGCTGTCGATGACTTGTCGCCTAAGCAGTCCTCTATGGCAGACTCGGTTCCTGGTTGAGGTGCGCGCTCTCCGAGGGAGCGGCCTTAGGAGACTCTCGTTGGGGTTGTCGCTGAAGTTGAAGTCGCCAAGCAATACGAAGAGCCTGTGGAGCGGGTCGGCGTTGGCCCAGTTGCTGTTCTCCGCCCAGCAGGATTTGATGCGATGGCGATATTGTGCCGAGATGTCGTAGTTGTGGATGTTGCAAATGCGCACTTCAACCCTTTTACCTACTCCAGCGCGTTCTGGAAGGAGCTGGCCAGCACGCGCTGCAGAATGTTCCGGCAGGGGCTTGCCGGAACGTTCTGGGAGCAATTTCCGCCCACTCTTGATCTTGACCAGCTGAGCGCGGCCCTTGACGACAGTGGAGTGCAGTGCACGACGACAAGCGCAGCGTCATCAGCCAGCCCAGCACCGTCAAAAGCAGGGATCAAGAAAGCCACACCCCCAGCGGCAGTCGTGTCTGTCCCACTGAAGTACACCTTGTAGTTGTAGATGGTACGATTGATCATGTTCTGCAGGGTCATGCCATGACAGTGAACTTCTGACAAAACGATGATCGCCTTTTGCCTCATCAGTTCATTTCGCTTAGACATTTTTGAGATGCGCTTCGCCGAGGAGGAGGAAGAGTAGGAGGAGGAGGAGGAGGAGGGGGAGGAGGAGGAGGAGGAAGGGGAGGAACGAAGCTCTCCTCGCAGCCCCCCCCACCAGCAGGAGGAGACGGGAGGAGGAGCCGCAGGTCGACAGCTGAACAGGAGGAGGGGAGGGGGAGTAGGAGCCTCGACGAATGGGGGACGTTTGGCAATGCAGCGGAGGAGGAGGAGCCAAGCCGAGCTCCTTTGCCCCGTCGCCACAGATCGACGCTCCTCGCCGCTCCAAGATGCACTCAGCGGTAGGACTTCTGGAAGCGCGAGCGCGCCGAGCGGCCGCCAAACTTCTTCGGCTCGCAGCGGCGCGGATCCGCCACGATCAGCGAGCGATCGTAGGCCATGAGGACGTCCTTGATCTCCTTCTTGGAGGCCTCGTCGATGTACTTCTGGTAGTAAGCCACGATGCCCTTCGCAATGGCCTGCCGGAGCGCGTAGATCTGCGAGGTGTAACCGCCGCCCTTCACGCGCAGCCGGATGTCCACCTTCTTCCACCTGTCGGCCCCGAGGAGCAGGAGCGGCTCGTAGACCTTTCGAAAACGGGATCGACTACAGAGTTGACTTGCCCCGAAAAATGTTTGCCGTCAGATCTAGGGAAAATGCGTCGAATACTCTTTCGATCAATCGAGCCTGCTATGTCTTTTCGAAGATTCGACGGACAAATCAGGTCTGGGGTAAAGTCAATTCTTTAATCGATTCCCTGCTCGAACCTTGACGCGCAGGATGTCGGGCTTCACCGTGGTGATGGGGCAACCGTTGATGCGGATCTGGCCGCCCTTCGCGCCCTCCTTCGCCGTGCGCACTAGCGCCACCGCCACGGCCGTCTTCTTGCGCCCGAAGCACTGGACCTTCTCTGCCTTGGCGCCCTCGGCCATCGCTATTGCCGCGCTTCTGTCTCGCAAGGGCGGGCTCGGCTGCTGCCCTCTTGCCAGTCTCAGCTGGAGCACAAATTGCGACCCTACGGAGGATGCGGAAAACGATGGGCGGGGTGTGTGTGGCAGGATGGAAAGGGACGGACATGGTTGGGACTGAGGGGGAGCGTGACGGGGACGTGGGAGGATTTGGGGAAGAGGAGGGGGGCAGGTGGAGGGGGGAGCCATCATCATCATCATCATCATCATCATCATCATCATCATCATCATCATCATCATCATCATCATCGTCATCATCATCAGCAGCATCAGCATCAGCATCAGCATGAGCACCAACATCAACATCAACATCAGCATCATCATCAACATCAGCATCAGCATCATCATCATCCTCATCCTCATCCTCACCACCACCATCATCATCATCAGTATCCACCACCATCATTAAGCACCACCATCATCATCAGTATCAATATCATCAACAGCAACATCAACATCAACATCAGCATGATAATCGTAACCATCATAATCCTCCTGCTCCTCCTCCTCCTCATTATCATGTCCATCATCATCATAATCATCATAATCATCATAATCATCATAATCATCATACTCATCATCATCATCATCATCATCATCATCATCATCATCATGTGGTGGCCTCCGGAAACCTGAACCCCAAAACATGTTGCCATCTCTTGGGGGCGGCTCCGCCGGCTTCGGCCATCCTTCTGCCAGTGGAGCCGCCCTCGATGTTTTCTTCCGCCAGTTTCCGCCGCCTTCCGCCGAGGAAGCAAGGGCTTCCAACTTCGCGCTTCGCGCTGCGCGAAGCGCGAAGTGCGAAACACCACTCACGCGCCGACAGCCAACAGGGCGCCGAAAACCAAAGGGGCGCCGAAAACCAAAGAGGCTCGGAAAACCAGAGGGGCGCCGACAACCAACAGGGCGCCGAAAACCAAAAGGATGCCGAAAACCAAATATGAGCCGACAACAAACAGGGCGCCGAAAACCAAAAGAGCGCCGGAAACCCACAGCGCGTTGAAAACACACAGGAGCCGAAAATAAAAAGGGAACATTCCAAACCAAGACGGCGCCGAACCCATAAGGGCGCCGAAAATCACGGGAGCGCCGAACACCAAATGAGCGCCGAAAAGCAAAGGGGCACCGAAAACACAAGATGGCGCCGACAATCGAAATGGCGGGCGCCGAAAACCAAAGAGCGCCGAAAACCAAAAAGCGGCGAAAACAAGGAGGGCGCCGAAAACCAAGGCGCCGACGACCGAAGGGTCGCGAAACACCACTCACGCGCCGACAGCCAACAGGGCGCCGAGAATCGAGGGGGCACCGAAAACCCGAAGAGCGCCGAAGACACCAAGGGTGCCGGGAACCAGTCATGCGCCAAACCCCAAAGAAGTGCCGACGTCCAAAGAGGCACCGAACACAAATGGCGCCTTGAAAGCCACAGGGGCGCCGAGGGGCGCTGAAAAACCACAGGGGCGCCAACGACCAACGGGGCGCCGAGCGCCGGGAGGGCGCCGAAAACCAAAATGGCGGAGAAAACCCAAACCGCGCCGCAAACCAAAAGGGGCGCCATGGAAAAGCGCCGAAGACCAACCGAGGCCGAAAACCAAAGCAGGCGCCGCAAGCCCAGAAATCGCCGAAGACCAGCCAGAGGGGCGCCCGAAACCGCCGAGGCGCCGCGCACCCACGCGTCGCCACGCTCAAAGGGCGCGCAGAACACAAGGGGCGGCGGAGATCAGTGGAGCGCCGAAATCCAAAGGAGCTTCGGGAGCCAGATTGGCGCGGAACGCAAAAAAAACACCGAAAGTAAAGAGGGCGCCGAGAACGATTACAAACAAAAACACCGAAACCAAAAAGGCGCCAAAACCAACCAGGGCACAGAAAACCAAAAAGGGGCGCCGAAAACCAAAAAAAGGGAGCGACATATACAGGGGCGCCGAACACCAAAGCGGCGCCGAAAACCAAAGGGGCGCCGAAGCCAAATCTGCGCCGACAGCCAACAGGGCGCCAGAAACCAAGGAGGCGCCGAACATCAGCAGCGCGCCGAGAACGCATGGAGGCGCCGATAACCAAAAGAAAACCGAACGCAACATGACGGCGCCGCAACCAGAAGGTCGCCGAAAAAAACCAAACAACAAACGCAGACAACCACGTGAGCGCCGGAGTCCAAGGGGGCGCCGAAAACAAGGAGGGCTCCGACAATCAGAAGGGCGGGCGCCGAAACCCAAAGGGGCGCCGAAAACCGAAGGAACGCCGACAAAAGACAAAACGCGCCGATGACCAGACGGGCGCCGAAAACCACTGCGGCGCCGAAAACCAAACTGGCGCGGAACAGCAAATATGCGCCGACAGCCAACAGGGCGCCGAGAATCGAAAGGGCGCCGGAAAACCAAAGAGCGACGAAAACAAAGGGAGGCGCCGAGAACCAAGAGAGGAACGAGCAAACCAGGACGGCGACGTAAACCACATGGGCGCCGAAGACCACGGGGGCCCAGAACACCAACGGGGCGCAGACAACCAAAAGGGTGGGCGAACACTAGAAAGGGCGCGAAAAAACCAAAGGGCGCTGAAAACCAAAAGAACACCGAAAACAAAACAACAAACCATGCAACGCGGCCGAAAACTCAGGTGGCGCCAGCGACAAAAGTGGCGCCGACGCCCAAAGGGGCGCCGAAAAAAAGGAGCACCGAGGACCACGCGGGCGTCGCAACCCAAAGAGGCGCCGCAAAAACAAAAGAACACCGAAAACCAAAAAGGGCGCCAGCAGCCAGATGGGCGCCCCTGGGCGCCGAACGTCAGCGGGGCGCCGAAAACCAGAAAGGCGCGAAGAGCGCCAGAAACCACAAAAAAAAACAAGGCGCAACAATTACACCGGACACCAAAAGGACACCGAACACCACCATGTCGCCGGAAACCAGCGAGGGCGAGCGCAAAACAAAAGGGGCGCCGGAAACGAAAGGGACACCGAAAACCCAGGGGCCCCTGATAATCACATGGGCGCTGGAACCATAAGAGCGCCGAAGCCGAAAGGGCAGCGAAAAACACAGGAACGCCGAAAACCGAAAGTGCTCCGAAAACCCACTGAGCCGACAACCAAGAGCGCGCCGAAAACCAAAGAAGAGCCCAAACGCACGCAAGGGCGCCGAAAACCCGAAGGGTTCTGGTAAACGAAGAAAAAACTGAAACCAAAAACGCGCCGAGCAGCAATGGCGCGCCGGACTGCAAAACGGCGCCGAAAACAGAGGCGGCGGCAAAATCCACGGGGGCATTGGAGACGCACGGGGCGCCCAAAAAACAATGAGATCACGCCCGAAAAAACAAGGCGGCGCCGAAAATCAAAGGAGCGCCGAAAACCATGGCAGCGCCGAAAAAAAAACGAAAACCAAAGGGGCGCCGAAAACCAACAAAAAGCGCCGACAACCATAACGGCGCTGCGCACCAAAGGAGCGCGGAAAACCGAAGGGCGCCGAAACCAAAAGAGCTCCGCAAACCAACGGGGGCGCAGAAAACCGGGGGGGCGGCGAGGACCAACAGTGGCCCGAAACCCAAAACGCGCCGAAAAGCAAGGGCGCGCCGGAAATCCATGGGCCACATAGGCGCCGCAAACCAAAAGGGCGCCGAACGCCGCGGGGGGGTCGAAACGGAGGGGGCGCCGAAAACCAACAGAGTTCCTAAAACCATAACGAACGCGGATAACCAAAGAGGCGCAGGAAACGCAAGGAGCGCTGAAAATCAAAAGGACGCACAAAACCAGAGGAACGCCAAAAAACATCATCATCATCACCGTCGCCATCGCCGCAGCGCCATCATAACCACCGCGCAAAATTTCATCCTGCGTCGTCGCCCCACCACTTTTCCCCACTCCCCCCCCCCCCCCCCCCCGCCCCACCCCCCCCCCCCCCCCCCCCGCCGCGCCCGCCGGCGACCGCGCCGACGAGGAACGGCGAGGGCGACGGCGACGGCGGGCGGCGGCTCGAGCGCAGGAGCACGCCCCCCCCCCCATCGTCGCGCGATTTCTGGCTCGCGGGCAACGTTTTGGCGCCTGCAAGTTGGGCCTCTCGCCCGCGGCCCCGTCGGGGCCCAAAACATGTTGAGCGCGCGCTTCGCGCGCGCGCCGACGCGCAAGCGTTTGCGCGCGGCAGAATTCGGCGCGCGCAAATTGCGCCCCTCGTTCGCGGCCCCGCCGCGGCCCCGACCGTATCATTATGTTAGGCGCGCAAAAATTCCACCGCCCCCATGGAGGATCCCCCGGGGCCCCGCGGGCGCGCGAGGGCGCGCGCCCTGCGCGCGCCAGGGGCGCGTCGCCCCCCCCCTCCGCGCGCGCTTGTCGCGCATGTAAAAAACACGCCGCCCGCAAGTTGGGCCCCTCGCTCGCGGCCGCGTCGCGGCCCGAAGCGCGTTTGAACACTTGCTCCGCGCGCGCGCCAGGCGCGCGCTGGGCCCCCCATTCGCCGCCGCCCCTCTCAGCGCGCGTAATTCTACGTGCCTGCAATTAACTCGCCGCCCCAAAATGGAGCCCCCCTGGCGCCCCGTGGACGCGCGAGCCGGGGGCGCGTCGGGCCACCCCCCTCTGCGCGCGCATCAATTTGACAGAGAACGAGACGACGGCGCCCCGCCCGCGGCACGACGGCGCTGGAAATTCCAGCACTCGCCCCACGCAACCACGGCTCGTCGTCGCGAAGACCCCGCGGCGGCGCCGGGGAGCCGCCGCGCCGCGCCTGCGCCGAACGCCGTTCGCAGCGGCTGCGAAGCGGGTTCCGCGCATTAGCCGCGCGAGATTCTCAATCACAGAGTGCGCGCCGCTTGCCTGGCGCAACGCCCGATGGCGCTGTTCGGCGGCACGCCGCCGCCGCGCGACGTCTTGCCCGACCCAGCAATGCGCGCAGCACACAAACCGCTGGCGTTTTTGAAGACGGCGTCGCCGCACCCCGCCGAGCCAATATGCGTCGCGCTCGCGGTGCTCGTCGCGCCGGCCAACGTCGCGGCGCTAGCTAGCCCCCGCGGCGTTCCCGCGCCGCGGGAAGGGGGGCGCAGCGCCGCGCGTCGCCGCAGCGATCCGCGTTGCGA